TTCTTCAAGAAGTTGGAAAGCACGATCTTTGGCTATTGGGCCGGGAAAAAATCTTGGGTAAAAAACATAGCAGTAAGAGCGATGGATTTTGATCTCAAGAGAAATATGCGAGCAAAGGCTGTCTTCCAGTACTTAACCCACCATACGAGGCAAGATACTCTCAAGATGTTACATTAGATACCCTTTATTTTTTCAAAGGTTACTTGAATATCAAATTAACTTGTACTTCCTGGTGAGTACTTGTACTTCCTGGTGATGATTGAGGATGTTTACGTACTGTTATGTGCAAAATCAAATATTTGTTGACAAACCTGCAATTTTTTGGGCAAGAAGCAAATTGAGAGGAAAATCAAACTCCGCTAACAATAAAAACATGTTTCGGAAATGCGAAGCAGAAATTGAGTCGACTGCGAACAGCATGGGCACGCTCTTTTCTACGAACAACTATATTGTATCTGTACTGATCCGAAATGACGAAGCATCAATCTCATAAGTTCACGTGAATGACAAAGATGAGATAGTTTCATTGAAGTTTCATGCTGTTAAAAGAAAATTGGTGCATCGTTTATTGGTGCTTTAAAGTCTTGAGGCTATGATATAAATGAAAAAATGTCGCCGAAAAACAAAATACAGAATAGGGTTCAAAGTCAACTTTTATTGATCAAACTGGAAGAAAATATATCTACAGAGAATAAACTGTTGAATCACAGCCTAAATCCTACATGATTTTTTTTTGGTTTGTTTGAGTAAATGAGACAGTAAACTTCATTGCACAATCGAGAGGGAGAAATCTAAATTTTGCGAGAAGATTTAATTAGCAAGGTATGTTTGAGTTTCTTTTTGAAATTACCGCAATTATTTTTGACTTTTTTCAGATTACTTATGTTACAGTAAAAGAAATTTTCGATTGATAATTTTTTCAGTAGTTGTTCAGATGCCCCGCCCGTGAGTTCGCGAACTGTCTTCATTCGGGTTGTGCGTTCGTGACCGGCAAACGACCAAGACATGTGTTCACTTGGAACTCAATTTTTAAATATAAAGTTAGTCCTGCCTAAGAGTTCGCGGGCAGTTTCGAATCAGGTTGTGATTACGTAACCGGCTATGACCGAGCATCAAGTAGCTTCGTTAATCTCATTTTGCTATTCTACGGAATTCTTTTCAATTAACCTAATTTCTTACTTTTCATTTTTTAAACATACTAGTAAATGTCATAAATAACTTTTTTTTAAAAAAAAGGACAATTCATATTTTATTTCAACCTAAATTTTTTCTAAAATTAGTATTTCTTCTTTTAACACTTTTTTGATGTTTTTTTTTTCGTAGGTTTTTCTTTGGTTTTCTCTAATAAGACAGAACGCTATGAGACAAAACTCGAGGCCGATGAAATCATTAAGATAAGTCAGTATTGGAGAGGGAAATTTTTTTTGTAGGATGTATATTTATTGTCAGAAAAATTAGATCAATTGCAAGTTATGTTCAGAAAATTCGATAAGACTTTTTTAGCTATAATCTCAGCTGAATTATAATTACAAAACGGACAAGATAGTAATATTTTCTTTTTTGATGGATATAAAAAGTTTGAAATTTTTTGCAAAAAAAAAAGATGCAAGCTGTGGAGAATTTCAGTAAGAAAAATTCTAAATCATACAATGCTGAGAAAAAATTTGTTGATAATAAATTGCACATTTTACTATTAGAGATTTGGAAAAAAAACAAATAAGGATTATACTTACCACAGTATACAACTACCCTAACTCTACTAAACAGACAACTTTAGAAAAATTAGCAAACTATATCTGTTCTTCTTTTTCTACTTGCTGACAATACAATGTGGTGTGAAGGGACTTCAACATCAATACTCTGTGTGAAACTAAGAAGTCAATTGATTTAATTTAAAGGTTTTTGGTCAACAAAGTTAGCTTGTTCAACCAAAAGCGACCTACCAGGAAGACGCATAACTCAAAGTCTTGCTTGCAATTTTCTCCAGTAGCCAATAGAAGCTATTTGGAATAATAAAAATTTTTATTACAAAACAGTATGCAATGAAGCGTAAACAGTAACAACAGAAATGAGTTAGATACGACAAACTTACTAAGAAAACGGCTAAAACTGAAAACATTTTGTTCGAAAATCAATTGATAGACTAATAAATACACTGACCATCGAATTTGATAAAAAAACAACAAGGAGTGTACTAAAGAGTTTTTTTTTTAAATTGACGAAACTTCAAATTAAAAATGTAGCAGCAAAAAACGGGATGATTCAAATTTTTAATAACACTGCTGGCGCCGTGGACAAAAAAATTAAAACTTTGGTACAAAATAAGTTTAAAAAATGTTTATCAAAGAAAAAAGAAAAAATAGCCAAGGCGGATAGTAAACAGTTTTTAAAAGTACTGAACAAAATCAAAGGTTAAAAAAATAAAAAATTTGGGGAAATGTCGATTAAGGAACTGAATAATTTGATGAGTTCTTCCAATAATAGGGGAGAAACTTTTTAACCGTTTAAACAATGAAAAACCCAAATTAGATCATCACAGTCAGTCACTCAATGTACCTCAAACCACTAACACTAAATAAGCAGGAAGCTTGAAAAGTCTTGGGTTTGACTAACTTAAAAATTAGTCGCGAAATGTAAAGTATAAATTCTTTTTTTCTTAAAACAGATTTTATGGGCTATAGTACTAACTCTTTCAAAAAAACTTTCAGTAAAATTTTCTCTTACTGTTTTCCCAATTTAATGAAGTTAGCAAAAGTTTTCACATTGTATAAATATGGGAAATTTTTTGATCCATCAAAAATTGGTCAACTTCTTTGCTACCATTCATTGATAAATTGTTTGAAAAACTCATGCATAACAATTTTTTAATAGGTTTAGTTTGTTCTAAAAAGATCAGTTTGACTTTTGTAACGGTGGAGTATTGGAAGGGAATTAAACAGTATTTACAACCAATCAGTAACAACTCAGTGTACGTTTGTGGACCATGTAAAGGCGTTTGACCCAGTTTAATAATATATCTTGATTTCGAAATAAAATGCGTAATGATGAGGAGATTCAATACTGCAACTAATTGAATCTAATCTCAGTAACCGCAATCAGTTTTTATTAAGTAATCAAGGGAAGTCTGATTCGTGAACAATTGCATTTGGATACCACAGTGCTCAGTCCTCGGACCGCTTTCGCTCATAAGTTCTTCAACGATATAGCAGTCAATTTAGATAGTTCAGAAACTTTTTTTTATATGATACTTCAATTAGTACAACTACAGAAAAAAAGCGTTGAAGGCACTCCATCAAAAAACTTAAAACACAACTGAAAAATGGTTAATCAATAATGAGCTTACCCTAAGCACAGATCAAACTAAGAGAGTTTATTTCCAAAAAATTAACAGGAACCAATCAAAAGTTTCTCAAGAGAAATTAAGTAATGAAATGTTTGAGTGCAGAAAAATTTTCCGCTACCATGGTTAAGTTCTGGACAAAAATTCGAATTTCGCAGATCATACAAATTTGTTGCATAAAAAACTCACAAGGTTGGATTGAGAAAAATTTTGTCAATCAAACATCTTGTCCAGATATATAAAACGTATGCAAAACCTCTTATTAATTACGATGTTTTGACATATTGATTCAAAAACAAAACAGAAATTGATGTAATAGATCAAAAATTGAAAAGTTAATTCAAAGTCCTGTTTGGAATCCGTACATATCAGTCAGTAAAAGATACTGGAGTAAAAAGAAACCGGTTTATGCAAAAGAACTGCATTTATGTGAGTTATTGAAAACATTGTCAAAAATTTTATAGAAAAAAGTCCTGTTCAATTTCGATACGTTTTTGGAAATGAAAAAAAACAGACCCAATTACAGGCTCGGAAGGTTGCAGTAGCTACGTATAACATCTCTTTAGATACAATTTTTTCAAGGCTGTGTTATAAAATACCACCCAAGCTATATACGTTAGATTTAGATAACATCTGACACTCTTCATGAACTGAACGATTTCAACCAAACTTTTTTGAAATGCCATAACATAGATAATAAAAAAACTAGCTACAAAGATATAACTTTAACCTGTCTAGGCGATTGAAGTGTATCATTTTTTTTCTCGTTGCGTTACTTTCCATTTTGCTGTGACGCACTCATTTTTTTAGCGAATTAATTCAATTGATTTTTTTGATTTAGTTAAAAATGGTAATGAGACATTTATTGTTCTCAAATCATGTTCGACTAAAATATTAACTCTTTTTTCCTCTCAGAGATACCTGAAAACGGATCTGTAAATGGTGACCACCCAGGCAGTTGTAATTTTCCTTAAGTCTCATTTTGTGAACTTTTGTCTTTTCTTTCTGAAAATGGGCTCTTTTTCCTCCCCGAACAATGCGAACAGTAATTTCACTAGTAAAAAATTGCAGGTGGGGGGGGGGAAGGAAAAAGAGCCTGAAAATGTTTTTATCATTTTTATTATAAAGAAAGTGTCAGTGTTTTGTAGGCTCTAATTGAAAAAATTTTGGATAATTTCCCACAATCAAAGCACTATTCTCTCTCGCCATCCACATTTTGAAGTTGGGAGCGTACGTGTCATTGAAGAGTTGATTTGACAAAGCGACAGCGTCTTGAAATCCGAAGGAGTACAGAATCGAAAGAGTATTGCGCAGAAGTCTTGTAGAAAATTGTAATCTTACAGTGGATAACTACCTGGAGTTGTACGTGGCCGCTTAAATTCCATGATGCTTCAATTAAGTATGAATACGCTCACAGAGCCAACCCGGCTCGGATATCCGCCCGAATTAATTTCAATCAAGTAAATGAATAAAATATTGCATCACTAGAAGCAAAATGTATCACTTTGAGATTGGACTTGCGGGAAAATGATGTAAAAAACTACAATACAAAAAATTTTGAAAGTTGATCAATTCAGATAAATAGCAGTCAAAATTTTCAGAGCGTCTCATTGGTGTAAGTTCATGTCGGATCTCTCAAGTTTTTTCAACAAATGAAAACTATAAAACAAAAATGAATTGAAAATTTACTGTGAAACGCTAATAAATATCTATTTTTGGAATAAATAAATCTGTTTTCAGAGAGTCGATAAAATTATGCGCTGGTTTCACTCACTTGTGAAAAAGAAAATGTTAAGCTTCTTTCTAAGGTTGATTCCCAATTTTTCCACGACTAAGGCCCCTGTTTTTCCATCTCTATACTTGTCCGATTCTTTCGTGAATTGGTCTACGTAAACTGAGACAAATGAGTCCATGCCATGTACTTTAATCTTATCCAAGACCGGAACGTCTTTATGCGTGTCTTTCCTGATTTCAGTTTTGAGCACCCAGCCGCTTTGTTTGCCCATTATTCTGTGGAAAAAGAACTTGACATAGGTGAACTTTCCCTTTCCTAGATCAGTTTCGCCATCGTCCCAGAAGAAGTGTCCAGAACCCTCGTTGGCTTCTATGGGCATGAAGATCTCCATGGTGAGGGAATTCTTCCGTGCGTCTGTCAAAGTGAGTTCCGGTTTCTGACTCACGAGTAAACTTCCCGCTTTGACGAACAGAGGTAGTTTAGAGAGGGGTGCCTGCACTGTGTAGTACTTGCCTCCTTGGAAAGTGTCAGATGGGTTCTCAAGAGCATACCTGGAAACAATGAGTTTGTCAAAGACACTTGCAAAACTGGGCAAACCGGATCCAAACACAACATCTTAAATAAAGTCTCTCAATGGATTTTGTTAAGTTTTAAACTTAATTGTGTGGCTCTTTTTCCTATCCCCCCTCGCACGAACATGAATTTTATTGTGCAACGAGTGGTTTTACAAGGACAGTTATGAAGACCAAATATGTTTGTCATAACCTAATTAGTCCGTATGTAAATTTTCATAACTATCTAGCAATGTGAAGAAAAATTTTCCTGTAAAATTGTGCTGGTGGGGGGGAAAGGAATAAGAGCCAATTGTGTTTGTGGGGTGTCCCAGAACTCGTGCTAGACTAATATATGATCGCAAAAAAACAGTCTTTACTGCGGTGTTCATTCCTATCCAGTTTTTCATGAGTCATAGAAGATGGTCGACTTAAGGCACTGTTTAGAATCTGAATTCTCTATTTATGGCAAAGGTATGGTTGCAAATTTTCCTATAATGATTGTGCTAAAGTTTGAAACGCCATATTCTGTTACTAATTGAATTGGTACATGTGTGATATAGATGCCCCAAGAAGTTGAAATGGTCTCCAATTTAAATTACAGAGAGCCCCCAAAGTTGTTAAATTTAAAATTTATAGGTGAAAGCAGCATATAAGTTCACATAAACCAAATGCGGTCAATTAATTTGTATGAATAAACTGAAAAACGATTAAGCGTCTCATGTTTATTATTTAATGGATGTATTTGCGTACAATTTGCTAAATGAGGGACAGCTCCCTCTAAATTACACCATTATAATAATTACGACTTCAAAAATTTCCGCCCTGAGACACTTTATTTCTTAATTATCTACCCGTAATCGGCCTTAATTAACTACCCGTAATGTAACTGCCCGAAAAAAAATTATAATTGTTATGACAATTAACATGCTGACTGCTAACCAGTAGCTGTCTTTGGGGAAGTAAGCGGACACTTGAGTTGCGCCCTCGTCTAGTACTGGGACGACCATGATTGCAGACCCCCACAGGAACTGGGTGTCTATGGGGTGGGTGTTCTCGTCCTCGATGAAGTCGAAGGCTAGAGCAGTGGACACTGTGGAACCCTCAGTGGCCGCCAGATACAGTTCCGCATATAGGTAGGGCAGGTAGCTGTATCTAAACTCAATAAACACGCCAAGGCTTATTGAATTGTCTAAGAAATGTTGCTACAAAATTATGGACAAATTTGACTATTGGCAGGAACGTACAAAAAAGACAAAACTGTCTTATTTACAGTTAGTTCCATTTTTTTAAACTTCGAACATTTCAATTTCGCCTTGCATTTTACTAACAATGGCTGAACAACAATTTTGTCTTGTATCTTTTCTAAAATGGCTGAACTGCAATTGTTTATAGGGTTATAAACGAAGACTAAAGATTAAAGTATCGAAAAAGGTCATGAAAGTGATGGTTACCTGAGAAGTGCGTAGTGCTTCATGTTCTGTATGGCATCGGAGGACCATACAGCCGGGTCCTGGTCCTTGGCGGCGATGTCGTTGTGGTTCCTGAAGAAGGTGTAGAAGGCGCCCATCTGCATCCAGCGGGTGCACAACTCCTCAGTCGTATCCTGCAGGAAGCCACAGATATCCGCACCTGAAAGGTCAATTAAAAGTTACGTCAGTACAGGGCGGTGAAATCTAGTTTTTAGGCTCGTGGGAGTGGTTTCCACTCCAACGAGGTCAAAGGAAGAAAAGGATCTAATTTGGATACTACTGCTAAAATGGATAGCACACGATCGACCATACACTTTCATAGTAATGACAGCTAGGCTTCTGATATTACTAATTCAAGCCTCTTAACCTAATACCTCTACTTAAAATGCCACTAGATCATAAATTTTAGGGGAAGTTTGGAGTTTTCAACGACCTCAGTTAAAAGAAAGTTAATTAGCATTGTCTGTAACTCTGATTGCTATATTGAAGGCAATCCAATATCTCGACCAGTCAGTTAAGGCTGAAAAAAAAACAATAGCAAAAAAGAAAATATTATTTCAAGCACTTTCGACTTGGAATGTAATTTTATATCTAATTTCAAAAATTATTATTTTAGACTGAGAATGAAAAAAAAATTAGGTGACTCTGCGTACAGAATGGCAATAAAGTTGCATGGATATGTATATGTAAGGTATGTGTATGTTAGGTAATATATATGAATATATTATGTATCTTACCAGTGAAGCTGATTCCAAACAGATTAGTGTTGATAGTCGACGCAATACTATATTTCAGGTCATCCCACGAGGCAAAATTGTCGCCAGTCCAGTGGCCCACATACCGTCCAGAGCTCATGAAGGTGCTCCTGGAAATGATCACGTTTCTTTTACCCGGGAAGATCTTTTCCAGCCCATGTTTCGTGGCTATTCCTTCTGTATGTCCGTACATATTGTGCAAATTGTAATGGATTCCAGCTTCTTGTTTTGCGGATTGGCAGATGGTTTTGGTTTGAAGAGCGCCACAAATGGAAGGTGTGTAAGGCGGGCTCTCGTATGTGTTCGAGGAGCACCCACTGGTCGATCCGTCCACGAAATTGGAAGGTTCGTTCATGTCTATCCACACTCCGTCATATGGGATCTGTGCGTGGTAGTTTTGCATCTGAGTTGTCCAGAATTCGTCAATGCGGCTGCTGGTGAAATCGGGGTAGTGGACTAGACCTAAAAAATCTTAATCATTTTTTTAGTGGTCTAGACCTGAAAAACATTCATCATGAATTGACTTGGAGCACAATTTTTACATGTTTGTATGCTTGATTGAAAAAATAGATATGTACTTTGGTAATCTAGATTAATTTCTTTGTTAATGCTTATCTAAATGAATTCAATATTCAATATAAATTATCGCAAGAGTAAAAAGTATAAACTGGGATGAGACAGTTTTTATTGATAAATCTGACAATTGATGTGCTTTATCTTTTAATGCTTATGGTTTTTTTGGTTTCGAATACATTCCCCCTTTTGGCACTCACCTGGCCACACCTGTCCCTCCAGGGGGGTGACCCCGTCAGTCTGGTTGATCCAGATGCCCATTTTGTTGCCCTGTTCCAGGGCGTCATTGGACTTCTGGTCGTAGATGCCAGGGTCCAGGATCATGATGTACTTCTGGTTGTTGTTGTGCAAATCGGCCACCAGTTGGGGCAGAGTGGAGTAGTTGCCGTGGTCATAGGTGAAGTCCATGTACTCGTCCATGTAGTCAATGTCGTTCCATTGCACCTGGTACAAATTAGACTTTTGATATAGGTTATCATTAATGTTATTATAACTGATTATTACCCTTGTTATTATTATTCTTAACAGATTATGAACCAGATTGACAATAATGCTATTAGGTCGAACATCGATCAAAAGGTTTGACTTCCAGCACCTTTCACACCACCTAGGTTTGACTTCCAGCACCTTTCACACCACCTAACCAGCACCTTTCACACTGAGAAGCGAATGAGTCACGTGGTTGGAGCCCAGCCACAACTTGTGTTGTTCTGGCCAAATTATTTATCAAAACTCATAAATTGAGACTTGCCTCTTGTGGGAATCCGACTGCTCTGGTTCTGTTCACGACCTTCCAAGTCTCTTCACTGCTTCCATACCCATATCTGCACAAGTTGAACCCTAGTGCCCAATAGGGTGGGATCTCCGGTCGACCGATGACTTTGAAGTACTGCTTGATGACGTCTTTCGGAGTCGGTCCAGTGAAGATGTAGAAGTCTAAGATCCCACCGATAGTTCGCCACGTGATCATGTTGCCTGGCTGTAAAGTCACGTCCATTGCATTGCTGAAACAAAACTATTTTTAGGTCGCCATGTATAAAAGCAGGTTTTGTTAATTTCTATGACTCTGGAAATTTGGAAATTATTTCAATAATAGTCAAATCGGATTCCAAACCCTCCTCCTCAACCTTAATAAGGTGTATCTGGTGATTTTTAAAAATTACGAATGAAATAATTTTTCACATGGTGAATCGGTGAATTGGGCTTAGAAAAATCAAAATTAAAATTTGTTTCTAATTCTGGAGTATAATAAGTCGACATGTTACCTTTGACAAAAACCAAATCCAACTCATAAGAACAGAAAACAACAAAAAAACAAGGAACAAACCCCATAAAAAGATTGCAAAACAAACAAAACTTTGATCATAATATAATTTTCCGATCTTTCACACCTGTTCACAACTGTTCACACCTGTTCATGAGGACAACTCCGTGTGCGTTTCCACTGTCCTCGTACAACATATACATGGGATGGGACCCGTACTCATTACACCCAGTGTTTAGTGGTTGATCACGCGCCCAAAGGGCGACCCGCTTGCCCGCCGTCATGTTGTACATCAAGGGTCCCCGATGCTCCCCGATTCCGTAGAGTTTTGAGCCTGATTCCGTGAATGACATTTGGAGAAATTGGTCTGCAACAATGAAGTTGTCGGGAACGGACTTGAGGAGCGTGTCGCCACCGTTTCGTCTTTGGATTCGAATTTGGTACGCGCTTCCCTCGTTGACTGTCGCGATGTAATCAGGGGTTCCGTCGTACGCGTAGTTTCCGTCCACAGGACGCTCCACTAGACGTTGCGGGATCTCATATCTCGTGTTCTGTGGGTCGTAAATCTTAACCCTAATTCGGCTTTCGGTTTCGTACGAAATTGCAGTTCGGATAGTTTTGATGTCGTTTTTCATCCAACTCGGTTCTCGCCGTGTGGCGTCAACGTACATGTATGTTTTGTTGACGGTGGTCATTTTGCCCATTTGGTATCCGGTCTGCTGGTATGTTCCGGAGTAGTAGCAATAGGGAACATTAAAGTAGTCGGAGGCAGGCTGCCAGCAGCAGCCCCGGTCAATGCAGTCTTGCTCGTTTGATCCAGTGTCAGGAAAACAATCTAACCTGGAAAATTTATTCAATTAATATAAATTGAAGTCAGAAGAGAAAAATTCAAGGATATTGATTTTCAAGAAAAGTTTTAACTAAGGATAGGGAGCGAAAATGAACATGAGTCAATCTGTAGGTTTTAATTCAAAAATTCAGTTGATTTTAATTTGCATGCGTCTCAAAAAGATGCAATGAAAAAAATATACTAGCAATCATCTACAAGCAATTTTAACTGTTTCGAATGGATTATGAAAATTAACGAATAATCCTCTTTTCCACTGCGTTCTTAAGAAATCATATTTTCACAAAAAAACCGCTGATAGCCAAAAGTGACAAGAAATTGACATTAAAGTTAGATTTTGCTGTTTAAATTGACTCTAAAAACAGACTTGACATTCAAAAGAAGTCATAATTCTTTTTTGATTGAAAAATATTCTATTTGATCAAAGTTTTCTTTTGTTTTTTTTAGAGATATGACTTACCTATTGTAGTCAGGGATACTGTCACAAGTAGATTCAATCTTCTTGAACTGCTGCTTGTACCACGTCTGCTTCAGCTGAGACCAGTCCCATCTATTAGCAGTCACACCTTCACTCGATCCACACATCAGGACCAGAACAACAGCCCATGCTGCCAGAAGATTCAAGCCGCACTCACCCGGCTGCCAAAATAACCCACGGGTCATTTTACCCAACAGTTGAGCCAGGTGCTAACAAATCCTATTTAGTAGTATTGTACTAGGTTATGGGTAATATAATGTCCGAGCGTTCCAAAGCAAGTTATTAACAAGTTATTAAATAGAGTATTCAGTTAAGTCGAAGAGAAAATTATGACAAGAATGAATGTTGGGTTGTAAGTTGCAATTTCACCGCGGGTTAATATTTACCAGAAGAAAGTCAAATCAACAGGAAACACAATCTGATTGGCTGGAAGTGAACCCACCCACAGAAGGCATAAAGTCACGCGCGAAGGTTCAATAATTAAGTAAATGTCAAAGCACAACCGAACTTACTATCAAACAATCCAAGCTGGATTACTGTTGTTTCGGCTTGATTACCTGACCTATCGTTCGTTTAGTTGCTCAAGGTCACAAACACCTTTGAAATGATTTTTCTTAATCATAATCTAACGAATCTCTAAATTACTAAGGACAAAGTTATTGATTTCGAAGTGAATAGATCATTCAAAACAAACCAAAAGGAAAATCGCGAGACGTTCTCAAACTCAGATGTTGTGACCAGCTGACTTTTCACACTTCAGGTTCCAGCTCCATGTCTATAAATGGAACTGTCTTTGAGGAAATGACTCAGTTAATAAAAACGTACCAAACTGTGCAAGACTTTTGCAATATTGGAGAGAGAAGTTTTCCTTAAAGGGAAGTCAACCACTGTATTTGTGGTCCCTCTTTTCAGTCGTCTTTCCCTAGAAAGTTTAAATTTAGAACTAATATTTGTTTAATTAATCCACGGGATAGTATAAACTCAGGTTCATAGGTTCAGCGAACAAGTAGAAGTTCATGAAAGTCAGTCCTGCTTGTAAAAATTGTCTGAACGTTAGATACGTTTCAACGAACTGATTTTTATTGCAAAGAAGATGTCATGCATTCTACGTTTAATATCAGCACAAAGAGGTTGAGGGGAAAGCTCTGCTTAGGTTCCTGATCCCTTCGCTGACCATTTTTTCCTCCTTTCGGTACTATTTTGCATTATACATTTTTGCTTGACCAACCTTCAGATTTGGCGTCAACACACAACAATTAAGTAGTTTTTGTTTGAGGCGTGCAAGGATATTCTGATATTGTTACATCATCTTTTGGATCAGACTATGACAGCTTTTTAAATCATAACAAGACTGCTATTATCAGGGCAAAGCCATGAATGTTCCGACTGTTTTTTTTTAATCACCCCCCCACATACCATATAAAGTACAAAGTGATAGATTTCGTTTCTTGTAACAAATCAATTATGGAGAATAAGCTTCCTTCAACCAATTTGGAAAAATTTCTAAGACTGATTAAATCTCTGCTAATGCGTTAATAGCGCTAAGTATATCGCGTGTTAATTATCCCAAATTGGCCAAAATGGCAGTCTTTAAACACAGGTTAAACATCTTTTCAAGTTAAAGCTCAGGACAACAATATCTTTGAATGATAAAAAAAAATTCTGTCAAAAATGGCTAGTTAAAAAGTCGAAACTTGTCTGGAAAAAAACCCACCCCGAGCTTAAATATGCCGCTATTTTCGTTACGAAAGTCGGAACAACAAAAACAAAACTATTGATTGATTTTCTGTAATTTGCAGAGGATCTATGAAAAACTATCATGCCTGTCTAAACATTGTCCGTTTCTATCATTTTCATACATTCCAGTATGAATTAATTCGTTGATCGAAGCTCTTTTTATATATTTTTTGGCATCTAGAACTTTCACGTGGTCCCATAATTGCAGTCAAAATCAGTCAGAATGTAGTAGACCTGAAGCTAGAATGGAAGCACAGTCCGACCCAGGAATGATTCCGAAATGAATTGACATAAATTAAACGACTGTGATAAAACTTAGTCTGACGGAAACAAACAAATCTTTTGACAGAAACATATTTGATAGTTCGCTTTTTCACTGGCATTAAATTGCTTCGATTGCTTTAGATTGCGAACAATTATAGAACAATTGTGCTATAAAGAAAACTTGAGGTTTGAAGTTATCGGTTTTTGAAAATACGTCCAATTTACAATACCGAGGACGAAACGTGTGAAAAAGCAACAAAAGTGAAACGATCAAGAGCTCGCTCGGTCAATAACCTATTTAAGACAACCGCTCTTAAAACATTAAAAAAACTGCTTTGCGCTTTGTTCCATTGCCATTTCCACTCATTATAACAATAGTATTTTGTTCCCTTTAATTTTTTAATAAAATCGTTTGATAGACCATTTTTTTAAACCTGTTTTGAGACTTTTTCTGAGTGTGAAACTGTTTTCAATTTCTAACTACATCATATCAAACAAAAATCTAAATGAACCAATTTCAATGGATCTGAGGGCAGAGTAACAAGCTGCACAAGAGCTATGCAACAACACGAACCGAAAAAAAACAGGTGAAGCCAAGTTATGCACACTTTGAGCGCACAAATCAGCTCAAAACAAAATATCCTACGACTCAAAAAATAAGATCATAAGTGAAGAAGAAAAGAGCCAAAAAAATGTAGAAACGTTGAAAGATTTCAACTGAGAAAATTTCTGAGAAAGTATTTCAACTGTGAAATTAAGGTAATAGGTCATTAAATTGATGTATCAGCAAACCGAAAACGGGCGAACAAGATGAGAAAACGCAAACCGTATTCATCAATTACGTAATCACATTTATTGAAAATTGAGATTCAAGCAACTTGAAAAAAATTTCTCAAAACAATATAGAAAACATTAAGTAAAAAAACTCTTGCAATGATCTCACAGGTTTAAAATCCTTGCTCTACTAAAAGAAAATCTAATCTTAAAAACCTTTTATTTCGCCATTGATGTAATTATTGCGTAAATTGGTTTAATGATCGGGTAATTTACTGACGCATCGGCCAAAAATTTTGTCATAGTGGGGTCTTTATAGTGAACTAAGAGAGCTCACAAAATCAATTTGGTTGACTTAAAAAAAGTCGACAAAATGTCCGATTTTGTTTTTTGAAAATCCACCCCCGAGAAAAACCTAGATCCCCCCTTGTTTTCAGTATATTTAACAAAATTTCACAAAGTCTGCTTGTTGACAAATTTTAACTTGAAAAAACCCATACCAAAATTGATTTAGCTTGTTTACCGAAAAGGTGAGAAATTACCAAAATTGTATGTAAACTGAAAAGAACCGCTTCACGTAAAAGCGTAATTTACACAACATCCGACTGAGACGAAGTAAAAACCGAACAAAATTTTTTAAAAAAAACATGGTTTCGAACGGACGTTTTTGCGATTTTAGCAGCAATAATGATAGAACAATATTAAATAATATCGAAAATATTTAACAGAAACATCTGAATTATTATCAAAAAGTGAGATAGAATATCAACAAGTATACTCGCCTGATACGCTACTAATACTGATCGATTTGACTACATTCATTGGTCAAACCGAACCTTCAAGGCAAAAACTAATATTTGAACAGAATAAAACTTCACAACCCTCTAATTTTTTATACCAAAGAAAAAAAATTAAAAAATTATTTGATTGGAAGTTTTTTCACAATTACCGTGATACATCAAACTGAATTTTTCATTTTTCAACTAAAGCAACAGCAAGCATGGAAACAAACAATCAGAACAATCAGAATGCTTTGATTCAAAAACGGCCGTCTAGAAAAATTGGGTTGCTTTTTTATAAATCAATTGTGTCATTGCATCACTCTGAGCTTCAAACTTTCACAAACTTTCACGGTAATTATGAGTTTACACACTTGAATCAACGGAGAAAAATCTGTGTTCATGTTGTTTTGATAGTTTTTGAAACTTACATTGGCAAACAACTGGGCAAAATAAAAAAAACCATTTAGCCATGAAAAACACAAGATAAATAAGATAAAACGCAGTTAATTTAATTATTCAGGTAAAAAAATTCAAAAAGAAGATAAAACGCATATGAGTGAGCATGTCAGAGCGTATCTTATTAACAGTTTAGAAAGTAGACAAAATTGTGAAGTGGATAAAGCCTAGTACGTGAGATTAAAACACGTACAATCTTAAATGTATTTCTAACGCAAAATTGTGGCGCAAGTTTTTGGTCCAATTATCTTTCTTATATATATCAGAAAGCAAATTTTTAATATATATCTGTGTAAGAAGTATAAGATGTTCTGGTAGCTATGTAAGAAGTACAAAATGTTCGCATCACTTTTTAGGGCAAAAAATAAGCACTTTAAAGCATTCTGAAAATTTTTTCAGCGTTTTTGCTTTTTGTTCAAACATTGTGACATTTTCCTGGAACGTAAGAGTTAATTGAAATTAGGCATCATTTACAGTAAAAATTATTTATTATTTTAAATTTTATGAAACAAAATGCTAATAAGTGAAATTTTAATTTTACATCCATTACCTTGCTGGAAACAAATTTCACAAACAATATGGTTCCGATCAATTTTTCTCATTACTGAAACTTTTTATAAATTTCATTTCAAATTGGAATCAAGGAAGAGAGTTTTAGAAAGTAGTCCCGATATCGATACCCTATAAACTTTTTTTCAAGTGCATGAATGTATATGATAAAAGTACAATTATAGGTCAAATTGCTCGCCACTTTTTGAGAATGACTGGGAAGTGATCGCGCAATTTGAATAGCTGAAGTTATTTCAAATCAAACTTAGGGTACTGTAGCGGTTATGAGTGCTCTACAGCTGAAAAGTGACGGAGCGTCGTTAATCAATAGAAAGTCTTTTTTCAAATCCATGAAATCAGTAGAGTCATTAAAAAGATAAAAAGCTAAAAAAAGACACCCTTTAAACTCATTTCACCTATTTACAGTCATTGAAGGAAATTACAAAAAATCATTTTTCTAAAATTTTTGATTCTATATCCACTTGTTATGCGTCTAACAAAATCGTGTCGGCTCATTTTCCGAGAAATTTTTCGTCTAGCGTTGCATTGATAAAGAACAAAAAAGAACCATGTTACTCATCAGGGTTGCTTTTTGGCTTTTATCTTTAATTGACTCTACTGATTTCATCGATACCAAAAAACAAAAATTAAGTTTCTGTTGATTAAAGACGCTTAGTCACTTTTCAGCTGTACAGATTTCATAATTGCTACGATAACTTAAATTAAGCCGACAACGACTTTGTTAGACGAATTAAGTCGATATTCAATAAGCATTTTAGAAAACCGATTTTTTGTAATCTTCTGTAAAGTAGGTAAAATGATAAACTTTAGTTCATATTAAAGTTGATAAAGTTGCTTTTCACTGAAATTATTAATGCCGCGAAATAAGTTATCGAGAAAATAAGTTTTATCAATTAGCATATAAAAGTCAAAAAAGTTAATACTTTTCTGCTTTTCTGCTCTCAGACCTATTCTACTCTTGGACCATTCTGCTTATTGCTCCGCCTCCACTCAATCTTATGCTGTAATAGAAAATTCGAAATTTTGAACTTTCAAGTTTTCAAGTTTTATCAAGTTTTCAGATGAAGTAAATGTGAAGTGGTCATTTAACGTCTGATTTTTTTGAAAAGCAAATGACCAGCCATTTAACGCTTCTGCAAACTTTTTTGATGAACTTTTTTAGACAAAAAAGACTAATCAATTCCAAGCTTAGTCAAAGAAAAACTCTTTGGCGATTTATCTGCCTTACTTAAAAGAAAACACAATCAAGACATGCCACATCTCAAAACCAATGCAGAAATGCGAGCATAAAACATCAACTTCAAGAAAATGTTAATTCCACTATTGGGGACATCATGGTTTGCAACTTGTTTAGGAGTCACGTAATTAACCTCAACACTGCTTCGTAGCAAAGTTCGCGCATACTTTTTCTCAACATTAATATAGCATTCAATTTTGTTAAAATAATGCATAATCTTTGCACGAAACTTAGCAACACACTTGCTTGATTGCTGGCGTAACAAAACTTTACCAACAATATCAGGATCATGACGTTTCTCACTTCAAAACTGGAAATTTCTGAATAAAGTGATTGCTTCTGCGTCTGGTTGAAATTGATTTTTTTTTTGAAAAATTTATGCGAATTTGACAAGCAGTTTTGCAACGCGATTACAATATTAACACAGAGGCGAAGTGGAGACTTGCACTACTTGCGACACTACACAAACATAGGAAACATAAGTCGAAATCCATGGAAAATGTTGGGAATAAAACTACTTGATCCAAAATTTCCGTTCGTCTCGATAAAAGAAAACTAGGGGCCCCAGCCACAACTGAAAATACCTATTTGATTTTTTTTGGAATTTGGTATACTAATGCAGAATGAGATAGGTTATTTCAAAATTTCAAAAGTGGATTTTGCCCGAAAACTTATTTGTTTCTCTACTAAATTAGATTTGGAACTTTTCCAAAGAAAAGACATAACCTCTTCCTTCAAAAAAAAAATTGACGAGTCGCCGCTTCTGCAGAAAAAAATTTCGCAACCGTTTCTTTCTATTGAATCCCTCATCTCAAATTTGACAGGGTATAGTTTTTAAGAGAAGCCAAAAACTTTAAAAAAACAGTCAAAAGCTCAAAACCTTGACTTTCAGAAATCAAAAAATTTTTATCTGCAAAAAAAGTCTTGGCCACTAGAGTAGAGAAGATTCGGATATGTCCATTGAACAATTAATCTGAGAAGTAGCACGGTAGTTTTCCAGAAAAATTAAAATGTTTAGAAAAAACCGGTCAAATTTTCAAAACGTAGACTTGTTTTGAGTTTCCCGAGGGCCATAACTTTTGGTGTCAAAAAATTGGGCGTAGCTGCATGAGCGGAAGAGCTTCCCACTACCCGTTATCTCCACCCTAACTTTGCGTAAACAAATTTTTTTGGGCTTAGGCGTTTATCGAGGAGCTTTCAAAACCTATTCTACTCATTTTAATTGATTAAACAAAAACCCATAATAGGGCAATCAAGCTGAAAATCTTTGAGTAGACACAAATTGAGAAAACAAATGATTTATGGTTTGATTAATAAAATTTATTTTCTAAATTTTCAATTTACCCTGAAATTAAAATGAACAAATCGTACTCTTGTAACTACATAGAAACTTTCTTACAGCGGAAGCCAACATTTTTTGAGCAGATATTAGTGAACCAAAAAAGTAGTTTTTTGAAAAATTAAAAATATTCAAGTCCTCAAACTACGATGAACACTTGTACTTGCAACTGCATTGAAAATTGCTTACAGAAAAAGCAAACTTTTGAATGGCGCAACTAAGCCGTCAAAACTTGAGCAGACACACGAAAGTCTGGCAATTCAGTTTTACCGAAAAAAAATTCAACTGCATTTGAAAATGATACAATGGCATTGGCTATCTCTGGACCACATGCTAACAAAAGTTGAAGTTTTTAAGTTTCAATGATGAAGCAAGTAAGAAAAGATAGTAGGATTAGTAATAAAGTTTGTTTATGGGTGAAAAGTCATCATATCGCAAGTGCAACTATATTTGATGAAAGTTATCAGCTTCTCAATTTTTTTAAATCGTTTTCGAAATTATACGTTTAGTCAGCTTTTTTGGATCACACAAAGGAGGTGCGATGTTTTTTGTATCTTTTAAGGGTATCTTAAGGCTTTCATGCGCAGAGATAAGTATCTTCTCCTGATTGCAAGTTTTTTGAAGTCTAGTAAGACTTGACCTCACATTTTGATTTTACGCAACGTTATTTTCCTCTCTCCATGGGGTATTCATGTTTAGTTCTAACAATGCAGCTAGAATCAAGAAAAATGAAAATAAGGTTCAAGGACAAGACTTCTACGATAGTTTCTAAGAGAAGTTCTAAAAACCTGCTTTTTGCAATGACCAGATGGTTGCAATGAATTTTATGCACAGATTCAAAAAAAAAGAATCGCTGTTTGCAACGAATAATTAGTTGTTTGCAGTGAATATGTTGGAAAATATTTAACTGTTTCGGTCATTCCATGTTTTTTTTCAAAATTTTGAAGCTTGTATGAATAAAAATAATATTATGGTTGATGGGTTGAAAAATTTTTATCTTTGTGTCTTTGCCACATCTTTTTTGCAGCTTTTTCTTGAAAATTGACAAAGCGATTTGCACTTATGCGATTTAATTTTCACTTACAAAATTTCTTTAATTTGAAATTTTGTAAGTGAAACTTTACCAAAAAATTTTGCGTTACCTCTCCATTGCAGGCTTTTATTTTAAGTTTTCCGTTACTCGAATAAAAAAAAGACAGGGTTCAACTTTTTACGATTGTTTATAATCAACAGATTGAATAACACGCTATTTGCAGGGAATAGATGTTTGCACTGAACAGATTCCAAAAAAAGATCTTTGCAATGATTGAACTCATGTTTGAAATGAATAGATTTGAAAAATTCAAACCCCGTTCCCTTTTTTTGTAATATTTGCAAATGATTTCAAGATATTAAGCAGCAATTTTACTTTGATTAAACTGAAATTTAATACACGCCATTTTTAAATTATTCCTGTTTTTAGCTTACTAATCTGAGGGCTCCTCATAGATTTTGAAAGTTTTTGTTTTTTAATTGAGAATGCGGAAAACCAGTACACTCGCAAATACAAGCTAAACAAAAACAATTAATGAAAATTTTTAGCTGTGCAGGGTCGGCATGAAGTTTCTAACAAATCATCTGCATGATCCTTCAAAAATATTCAAATTTTATATCTTGATGTGTCAAAAGTTCAACCACGCAAAACAGAGCTAATGCAGTTTTGGCTTCCAATCAAACAGAATATTATGTTTCTTGCCTCCAGTCCTGGCCCATAAAAAATTATAAATCTCTCCATCAATCCAAGCTATACCTTACGATTCCACCGACAATAACAATAATCAGAATAAAGAACACTACCTTTTTTCTGAACGATTACTTATGTGGTTTCAATAAAAACATGATTAAAGCTTCAACAGTTCCGTTTTTTTTTGTTAAGCTGGTCGAAGTAACTAACCTTATGAGAAAATTAGCTCAAATAGTAATTTTAACACTCCACTTCTACTACTGGAGAACTAATTTTCCATTCAATTGAACGCAAAAACTGTTGGGAAAGAATCAATGAACGCAAGTAAACTCGGAAAAAAAGAAAGCCTGCACGCTCTTTGAATTTCTAGAACAAGTTATGAATGATATTTTTAATAAATTTAACCAATTTGAGAAAACTGGATCAATAGGTAAATATTTAATTTCGCTGGGAAATCTGATAACTAAATTCCACTTTCGCTACTAGAAGTTTATCACGTTTTTCGCAACCTTTAGACTTTTGCTGTTCGATAGTGGAGTTTGCCTTCCTTTCAAAATGTTGAACTGATCTTAGAAAAAACTAATGTCAAACAGCGAAAAAAATAAACTTGAGTATTGAATACGAAGTATTAAACAGCAGAACACAGTTTGTTGGTGGAATAGGAAAAAAACAAAAATTGGTTCTTAAGCCTTTCTTATAGTCGATTCAACTGAGTTATATCCAGAGGATTATACCTCCGGAACAAAGGCAACAAAAGAAGGAAAAAAATAATGCAAAAACAAACAGAAAGACTTGTTTCGATTTAAAATAAAACAGTCTTACATCTTTGAATTTCTAAAACAATTATTAATTAGAAAATTTTTTGTATTTCGCTGAAAAATTCGGCAATTAAAAAGCATTTTAGAAATAAGATCACAATTTTTGTGTTTCTACACTTCCGCAGTTTAGTAGAGTTTGCTTCCTTTTAAACATAGCCAACTGACAGTTCGAAAAGAGTAATGGTCTTAAAGAAAGCTCTTTGAATTTGTAGAACAATTTATGATGGTCACTTTTTTTAGAATTGACACAATTTGAGAAAACTGGATCACTAGGTTAAACATTTATTACGCTGAGAAATCTGGTACTAAAATTCAATTTTCGAAATCAAAAGTCGATCACGTTTTTCGTGACCTTTACCTGTTTGCTAATCGATAATGGAGTTTGTCTTCCTTTTAATAAAAGAAATGCACTGTACTTGAAAAAAAAGTCAAACCACGAAAAACCAAAATTGAGCGTGAACAAATTTTAAGACTCTTTCCTGAAAAAAATCAACAAGACATATATAAGAGTGCTCACTAGGTTCATTACTCTAAACAAATGAAATGAGCTAAGCTTGAAAAGAAATGAAAGTCAAACCAACCGCAAAAAAAGTATTTTCAAGCCTGAAAAAAATATCTGAGAAAAAAATCATCGGGACATATATACGAGTCTGAACTACCTTCATCGACTCTTAACAAGCAAATGTGAACCTCTGTACATATTGACATTTTCGAAACGCACAACTTTGACCAAAACTGTCAATATTTTTCTCAGCCTGAAATATTAATTGAAATGTCTGACCATGTTGCTTGATTTTCATCAGGTTCTATTATGCAATCAGATTCAGTCACGGTGGTGTTTCATTTCAAGCTGTAGAAAAACTGACTGGACGAAAAAATACATAGAAAAAAATAATTTGATTACGGCAAAAAAATATATAACGAAAGTCACTTTTTCCTGGAAAAAAGCACACGACATAAACCAGTGTCTTTACTTCGTTCAATGACAAAAAATAAGGAGACATAAAAGTTGGTTGAACAATGTACAAAAAATTCGGCAACCTGGTCGGCTAAAAGCTGGACATAAAATCATTTATTAACGTTAAAGAATTGCAAATTTGTGCAACGAAATATCCATATTCGAATCTAATCTGACTGACCGCTAGAAGTGTTCGATAGAAAAGGCCTCGCAGCTAATTTTGACTGAAAATCAGAAAAGGTAGCAAATCTGTTTTGATCTATAAGTTGCGCAGACCTAATTTAGCGAGTGATGCTAAACATGCGAGATAAATATTCAGATTTAAAAGCATCTAGCAATAATTTACAAACACGATATCATTTTCGACAATATAAAATCATACTCAACTTGCTTAGCTCTCGAGGTCAAATTTAATTCATTTCAAATAATATAGCTAGCAATCATAAAGATAAATTATAAACTTTGATGTAAAAAATGAAAAAATAAGCGCAATGCTGGGAGACAGAGCGACAAAATTTATCAAAATGTGCAATTCAAACAATCATTTCTCCTGCTCTAGAATGGAATTTAGAACGCCTTTCTAGACGTGCTCCGAACTCAACTGAAAGGCCTGAAGTTAACAACATAATAATCCAGCAAAACAAAAGAACGTATAAAATGTCCCGATATTTATCCCAAATGCTGAAAGTCAAGCTAAGCATTCTAATGTTACATAAAGTTTATGTAATAATTTCTATTCAGTCGTCAGACTATTGATGATTCTAACTGTGAGTCTACATTTGCGTAATCCGAGCTCATCTTGTTCCGCTTGAACGTCGAAAAGGCCATCTGAGCATCATTTGATGAGGACGAATCTGGGCCTGGTTTTTCCTGCAGGGGGGACTCCAGATTCTTCGTGAATGAGATGGCGTCCTGTTGTGCTCGTGGTGAACTCGGGTGGTGAGGCCGCAATGAGCCTTGGCCTCGATCCGAATCGCCTCCATTGACATTCGAAAATTGCCCGCTGTCTCTCCGCGTTGAGCCTCTGCTACCCTCAAACGGACTTGAAGACTGCCCACTTCCGTTATTCAAAGGGGATACCTGCTGCTTTTTTGTTCTCGGCAGACTTGGGTTATTTGAAAGTGGTGAGCTGAATATCCCACTGGAGTCTGAGGGTGAAATAATGGAGTAGTTGTCAAGAGAGCCACTTGCGATAGCACGCAGACAGTCGTACACAAATTTGAAGCAGTCCTGAAATGTCCAAAATGTATAGCAGATCGATGACCAGGTTTTTACGTCACTATTGCCAGAAAAAGTTAACTGTTTTTGGCTCAAACTATGAAAAGAACAATCAACTTAGTAGTACAGCAAATCAGAATTCACTCCAGAATCAATTAATCCTCAGGCTTACATTTCCGTAGACTAAGGCCTGAAAACATTCATAAAAACACTCTGACACAAGATGCAAGTTCATTGACCCCAAAAACGCTTCAAATTCAGTCATTAAAGTAACATTTAGGGCAACTTTGCTAATTTATATTTTCTCTTTATATCTAAAGGCAGAAACAGACGATGCTTAATAATGACAAACAGGATCAAACGTATAATCAGCTACAAAAATTATACCACGTAGCGAATAATCGTTGTAGTGACAACGAAGAACAAGAATAAATTGTTGCAAAACAACCAAATATAACAGTTTAGACTTTCTAAACAAAATCTAAAATCGATGTCTCTTTTTTTTGCCTGTTTTTTTTTGAAAAATTAGCCTGCGGCGCAGAAAATTTCTTGACAAAACAGGGACCTTATAGTACTTTCGGAGAGTCGAAAAACCGCACCCCCCCCCCCCCCCCAGAAAAACTTCTGTGCACGTCACTGCCAACAAGTGATGCAGGTCGATTAGCTCGGCCGACAAAAACGCAATCAAGTCAACTAACGATGTCAGAAGATCGGCAGGGGAAGATGGTGCAGCGCTGCTCGAGGAGTCGGTGGATGAGGAAGGGCACGTTGCAGCTCCTTGTCTGCTCCAAGTCCTGCGCCAGCATCCATATTGCACAAAAAAGAGCACTTCTCAAACCACCAGTCCTAAACACACACCACACATCAACCACCTTACTACACTCAAGTTTAATTAATTCGCACCCTTTTCATTGATATAATATTTCAATGACTGTTCTTATCGATATTTGTTCACCCTAAATTTGAACCTTTTTTCGTCTTTGAATTAGTTGAAGGTCGTTAGTACGATTTAAGTATCGCTATCTCCCCACTGAAATTCCAAACCACTGAAAAAAAAATAAGACTAAGCGTCAATATTCTGTTAATTTCAAAACCAGCTCAAAAGTTGCTTTTCTAACGCATAGTGCAGTGGAACAATTAGTTCTTTGTGTATAACAGAGCATGATTTTGAACAACTGATTTGAAAGTGAAACATCTCGCTTCTCTTTCTATTTGAAACAAGTTTATAGACCACTATACGAGGGAACACTTTGCTAGGCAAATAGGACTAAGGGAGGGCCAATGTATCGGCTGACAAATTAGATCACAAACTAGACATTCCAGAATAGCACATCTCAGCTCAGATAACAATTAGGCTCATAGCCAACTTCCATTTGAGATGAACATCAAATGTGATCTCTTTGACACGACACAAGAAAAGACAATCAAATGAACGGTTAAGTTATCTTCATTCTTGAAACCTATAGCCGCTCTCAAGCGATAAATAACAATTATAATTGCGTTTCATATTAACTAGTTAATTTGGAGGATTCACTATCTTCGCCAAAGAAAGGTGCGCTTAATCTGGCTTTTTGATCTGACCGCAGAATACTCGGGTTTTTTCTTTCCACGCAAAAGATTTTATTCTTTCCAGAAAAAATTGTCACTACGTTCATTACTCTTAAAAATTTCAAGTATCTTAGCTTTGGCTGCTTTTCATCTGTTCAGTTATCATATGTACGGCTTTAATTTGATAAATAAATTAACTGTTTGTAACGTTTGCTTGTACTTGCTTTTGCGTGGAAAAAAGCACCCAAATACGAAATGCCTTCTCACATTCTGTTGTCGGATCAGAAGTCAGATTAATCTCACCTTCCTTAGGCGAACATAGCTTACCTTCCAAAGTAACTAATTGATGTCAAACAAAGTAAAAATTGCTAGGTATCGCTAAAGAGCGATAATCGGTTTTAATGCAAAAGATTACAAAACAATTCATCTTCCTGCCGCTTTGTTCACTCACCTATGCCATCCAAAGACTCAACGTTTCTTTCTATTACGAGACATGTAGTTTTCGCTGATTCAGCTTTAAAAATTTAAAACAAAACATTTTACACAAAACTTTACACAGAAAAGCACTAAGTTGGCTATGCCGATAAAACATTAGCCGAAACTTTTTACACCGAATAACGTTTTAAAGTGATCAAAAGCACTAATAAATACTAAGTGAGGACTAGTAAACTTACAAATGAACAACTCATGCAACTAATAAATCAACAACCCCTTTGCAACTACAAGGAAAAGGATAGCAGCACAAGAAAAATCCGTATGTGGCAACTAAGTGGAGAAAAAATAAGCAGACACACAAAAGTCAGACAATTCAATTTTTTGCGAGAATTTTTTTCCGACTTCATACATAATGAAAAAAGGAACGGCCAGGAATCGAAACTCGGACTTAGGGTGCAAAGTCAAGCGCTTTACCTCTTGATCAAGTGGGAAGGAGCATGGAAGTTATTACGGTTCAATACTAAAGAAAGTTCAAATTCTAATAGATTTAACATAGCAATCGAAGAGTGGAAAAGAGTAATGAACGCAAGTAAACATTTAAAAAACACAGACTTTCTTGAAAAATCTCAACTTTCGAACTTCAAAAAAAAGATGCACTTTAAGCTGTTCAAAATTCTAGAACAATTTATGATTGGCGCTTTATTGATAACATGAATTCAACTTGAGAAAACTGGATCAATGGGTAAAGTTTTTATTCCGCTGGGAAATCTTAAGAATAAATTCCTTTTTCGAAACTAGAAATCGTTTATATTTTTCGCGCCATTTCATTTCCACGTTCGTATTTAGATAGTGCTATTCACGTTAATTTCAGCAGATGAATTTCAATTGAACTCAAAAAGTGCATTACACCTAAGTGCATCAATATTTTGAGACTTTTTCCTGAAAAAAAAATCGGCAAGACCTATATAAGAGTCTTCACTACGTTCACTCCTACGTTTACAGGGAAGAAACCAGTTCCCAATCAAAGACTCATGATCTGGCACAATTAATTAGTCCTGGTTTACTTTAGATTTGACTAAAAATTGGATCAATTCTCATTTCTTTTATTCCGCAGAAAATTCAGAACATAACCTACAAAAAATTAGAAGAAAGTCAATGAACGCAAATAAGCAGAAAGAACACTGACTCGATTTTTCCAAAAAAAATACCAACTTTCCAATTTCGGAAATACAAAAGATGGCCTCAAGGCTCTTTGACTTTCTAAAACAAATTATAATTGACATTTTTCATTTCGCTGGGAAATCTAAAAAATAAATTCCACCTTCGAAAACAGAAGTCGATCGCGTTTTTTGCGACCTTTTAACTTTTGCTATTCAATAGTGGAGCTTGCCTTCCTTTCAACAAACGAAGAGAATTGATCTCTTAAGGCAATCAAAGGTCAAACCGCGAAAAAGTAAATTTGAGCATAAATAAACTAAGACTTTTCCTGAAACAAGGCATCGCGACCTATATAAGAATCTAAACTAGGTTCATCGATTCTAAAAACTCGCAAAGTAGAAGCAAATATTTAATCTGGAAGGTACTAGTAGATGCAATGTGAATGGGCTATAATTGCAAGTTCCCAGTTTTCCATAAAACTTGAGAAATGAAAAAAACAAGAAAACATTTTAAAAAAAATGACGGTATGAACGTAACACAGAGGCACAGCTGTACTTCACAGACACAAGCAAAACATAGCTTTTGAAAACTGCTCAACAAAACTTTAAAAAAAACAGATATTAGCCTTAAAAATCGACAGGTTTAAAACATAGACAACTGACAGTTGGAAAAGAGTAATGAACGCAAGGAAACTGAAAAAAAACTTGTTTTTTCAAAAAGTTCAACTTTTCCATTTCGAAGAAAGAAGTAGACGGCCTTAAAGCTCTTTGAATTTGTAGAATAATTTATGGTGGACACCATTTTTTGTAAAAAATGAACCCAATTTGAGAAAACTGGATAAATAAGTAAAACTTTTATTTCGCTGGGAAATCTGATAATTTCCATTTTCGAAATAAGAAGTCGATCACGTTTTTCGTGACCTTTACAATTTTGCTGATCGACAGTAGAGTTTGCTTTCCCTTTAACAAAATGCACTGAACTTAAAAAGAAATCACAAGTCCAACCGCGAAAAATCAAAACAGCACGAACAAACTTCAAGCCTTTTTCATGAAAAAAAAAAACGAAAAATCAGCAAGACCTATATAAGAGTACTCACTACGTTCATTACTCTTAAACAGACGCAGACAGTTGGAGACATGTCAATGAATGGTAAGAACAACAAAAAACGTACAAAAACTTCAAAAGTTGATTTAAAAAATGTGGAACCTGATCTAAACTACATTTTATGATTGGATAAATTAAATGTTTTACCAATGTAAAGTATTTAATATTAACCAATCATGATCCATCTAACTAACAACCCACTTATTTGTAAGTGCTGAAGTTACTTGTAATTTCAGCACCAGAGAGATTTGAATTTAACTTAGAAATTAGTTGGACTCTCCCGAGCACTTCAGCAGCCGCAATAAACCAGTATACCCTAGATCTATTGAGCCTAGCAGAGACTAGTTAAACAACCTGAGACTAGATAGTATAAGAGTAAGATTAGGATCGGTATTAGACTAAGAAGTTGCACGAATCTATCCGGCCGAAAATAAGATAGCGTGACGAGCAGACGGTGTACCCTATCCGAAATTACTCTATGAGTTACACTTCGGTCCTAACTCATCTGGTGCGACCATAAGTCTCGAACAAGACCTTAATAGATTAGAATTAACCAAAATAGATTAGAAATTAGACAAAAACATTTACAAAAATGTTATACGACAATAATTTAATCGAAATGTCTCTACGACTCAATAGATCAGAGCCAATATTCCGAACCATAACAGAACTACCCGGAATTGGAAGAAGACCTCGAACCAAAGACGACATACGACAAAGTAGAAACTTGCCGTATAGTTATATGATAGTTCGGCAAAAGCCAGAACAAACTTTTATATTTCGAATACTACTTGCAATGAATTTAGATTTCCATTTGCAAACATAAAACCTTGAAGTTACTCTTCAAAATCATTTCAGGCGCTAAACAAATTTATTAATATACAATAACGATTGATAAAAAGATCTAAGATCGTTTTCCTAAAACTCTGCAGTATTATACAAAAAATGTTTGAAAAATATTTATTGGAAAATAAAAATAAAAATTAGTAGCATGACAATAAATGGTTAGTAATCATAAATCATCCTGTTGTTCCAGCTTCATCATCTAAAACATAACAGCAATCATAAACCCACTAATATCATCAAAACACTAAATCTTTCCTTTACACACATTTAAAATTTTATTAAAACTTAAATTCACTTAATTTTAAAACCAGATCATCAAGGCTTATCCTTGGATCTTAAATCATTTTCTACTTAATTAAATTTCAAATTTGATCATCAAGGCTTATCCTTGGATCAAACAGAACAACTTTGTTCTCCCCCACCCACTTAATTAGTGTCTAACGACCTCAAACGTCGATTCACTACCCAACCCTTTCTAAAGACCTAAGACTAATAGAAATTTTTAAACAAAACTAATCATTCAAATTAGGATAAACAGTGAAGAACTTCGGTTATTCATCCTTCACTTGACCCCCCCTCTTACCAGACCCAGGATAAATCTTAGACTTAGTAAGTTTAAAATAGTATCTAACGAACTACTCGCGTTCTAATTATACCTGAACCTTGTGGATCGATTTACTATTCTCCAACCCTTGAACACAATCACTACCCCTAAGTAAGATTAAGTAAGTTAACACCTTAACTTATACTAGCCA